CTGCAGAAAGCCGACCTTTTCCATGTCAGTGCCTAATTCTTATTGATGATAAATCTCTTTTGGAGTGTTTGTCATTGCAAACTTCTTTTTGTTAACCAAGTTAACCAATGCAGCAAAATTATGTAATTCCCGAAAGCAAAATACTGCTTTTAGCCGGCTTTTAGCTGCGTATCACTGCGCCACCACACCTCCGCGTGAACTATCAAGCCGAAATGCAATTGATTCTCGAGAGTCATCTTTACCTACAGTCAATTTCGGACGATTTAAAATTCAATACGCTTTTTGAGGTGACGTTCATTATGATTATAAGCAATATATACGGGAGAAACGATATTTTTTCGTGATAGACAATTCTAGTCAGTTTGACTAAATACTGTTATGAACGGGCAGCTCGGGTGCTTATAAGCTACACCTTTTCACAATAATTAAAGGACACATTCATGGACTACTGCCAACTGATATGTTGACTGGCTTCCTAGGCCGAGGTGCAGCTTCGATTGCAGATCGGTAATGCTGACTCGCTATTCAGCTGCTTCTAACTGAAGTGTTGACTCATAACTGTTACGCTGTTACGGTGGCCGAGCTGAGCCGAGCTGCAGCCGAGCTAGTCACCAACAAACTAGCACCTCATCACGGGCGCATTATCGCTGAATCTCGGAATCAAAGCCATAAATTGCCGGTCGCCCGTTCATGCGGCGGCCGAGGGCGGCGCCCGAGGCTCGGCCGGTCTCTGTGCAGCTGCACTGTGCAGCTCAGCGGCTGGAGCATGGGCCAGCACGGCGCGATCCGGCCCCGCTCATGCATAACCAACGAGGCTCTCCATCATTGGCTCGTTTGTGAAGTTGTTGAGTGCGAGCGGGCGCGTTGACTGCCGCTATCTGTTCAGTGAAATTGCCCGCGGCGCTGGCTGTCCGTTTCGACAGTCATGGTAAATGGCGTGGTGCGGACGGAGCCAGGGAGAGCGCTGCAGCGCGCCGCGTGGGGGCTCCGGTCAGGTGTGAGCAGTCAGACGCCTGATGTTTACCTTTAGTGGCGTACTGGTGGCCGGTGCCACTTATTTATCCATCAGGAAGCCGTATACGAGGTGGTTTTGGTCATCAGTGGCGGGAAATGGTAGTTGAATAGTGTTTAGCGGTGAAGCGAGCATCCACAGCGGTTGCAATACGATGCAATGAGCACTTTTGTGCAAAACAGTGATGTGATTCGTAGACCAATATTACCAAATATATATGCTCTGTATTGTTAGCATCCTGTGTGCAATAACTGGCGCACCATTCCACGCTGCAACTGATTTCAGTAATTTTACGAGCAAGTGCATGCTAAATTATAGGCATCACGATTGTTTGCAGTTCACCCATCACATAGTAACGCTGCGCTATTTCTCACAAGGCAAACTATCTATTAGGTAGGTACATACACCAGTAGCGCCTCAAGGGCGCATTGTCCGAGCATTAGCACTCCATGCTTGTCTTCCTGCACACACTGAATGGCCTGCTTCCAAGAAGGGAATCATTTAATTTATATAGTTCAAACAATTGCTTCACATGAGCTACCTTGGTACTTACAAATGAATTTAGAAGAACATCGAGATTACTCGGTAGTCGGTGTGCAATGTGCATGTTGTTTATGCGTTCAAACATGATGCGAACGCAGAGCGATATTTTTCTCCAAACCAGCATTGATCTATTTTGAGCGTTTTATCACAAATAGGTAAACGTCTTACTCTACGCAAAATAGCTTCACTCAGATGAATTAATATCAATGAATTTGTATCACAGAGCCGAACGCTTTAACTACACCTTTTTCGATGCATTTTAAGACAAATGAAGTCCAATTTAAAACAGTTGATTTCTGAATTAAAACAATTGACAGGCGGGTTAAAACGCGTGACATTCAGCTTAAAACAACTGACATGCGATTTAAAACAAATGAAAAGCAAATTAATATAAATGACAGGCAATTTAATCATACAATCATAGTTACTTTAGGCTATGTTGAATAATTACGTTTTAGTGCAAATAATATAAACAATATGCTCGACTACATATTTGCAATTGTGACAGTTCGTAGAACTTTAACATAGCAATGCTTCATTGAATTAAAAATTCAAAATGACTGATTGGCGTTAGAGCTTCCATACGATGACATTGAATCCTACACTACACTGTCCTTCTCCGTCTTAACCCGCGTCCCGCTGGGGGTCCTGGATTTCCACGCCCCAAAGGGGAAGGGTGTTTGAACACCCTTCCCCTTTTAACTCGGCTCCTGGGCCACGTAGCGATACGCGGAAGGCAGTATGCGAAAGAGCGACAAACCTAATGACGGACCTAATGTACTTCAGTCACTTTACTTTTTTGCTCAGGTCAAAGGTCAGGTCACCAGAGGTCATTGAAGGCCAAATGTCGCAGATTTTCAGGTCAAATGTCAACAATTTTTAGAAGCCGACACATAACTCGGGAACCAAGAGAGTTACAACTTACAGCGCCGTAGAAAAGCACATTTGATAGCCCATTCACCGCTCTCGCTCTCTGAATATTTCTCCCATATTTGATCTAACGTCAACGTTCTAGCTTGCAGGTGGCAAAAACTGCCAAAATGGACGATTTTTGCGGACAGTTTTTTTGCACTGACTTTTGACTCAAGCTTTGCACGAGCTTAACTTTACCTGCATCGTGTTTCTCTCGTCAAGACGCATCGAATGAACTACACCATTTTCGATGCATTTTAAGACAAATGAAGTCCAATTTAAAACAGTTGATTTCTGAATTAAAACAATTGACAGGCGGGTTAAAACACGTGACATTCAGCTTAAAACAACTGACACGCGATTTAAAATAAATGAAAAGCAAATTAATATAAATGACATGCAATTCAATCATACAAATATAGGTACGTAAAGCTATGCTGAATAATTATGATTTACTGCAAATGAACAAAAATATTGTGTTCGTCTACATGATTATTTGTAGGGAGAAAATTGAAAGACGCCTCTTTTGGACGAAAGTCATTCTAAACACCTTCAAACACCGAATTACAATTTACAAGTAACGTTGACAGTTGACCCAATGAACATAAAAATACATAGCACCCGTGACCCCTATTTATGTCCATGAGGTCATGTCAGGTCACGAAGGGTATCTAGCAGGTTTTAGCAAATGGATAGAGGCATGTTAGAGTTATGAAAACGCCTTAGATTTGTAAGCTCCACCATACGAATCGGCTGATACGCAACATGACCCTTTCCGGTCAGGTCAAGACCTTGGCCTGAGGTCATTTTTTCAATTTGACCTTTCAAGGTCAACTTAAAGTTCATTCGATGCGTCTTGACGAGAGGAACGCGATGCAGGTAAAGTTTAGCTTGTGCAAAGCTTGAGTCATAAGTAAGTGCAAAAAAAATCCGCCAAAATCGTCCATGTTGGCAGTTTTTGCCACCTGCAGGCTAGAACGTTGACGTTAGATCAAATATGGGAAAAATATTCAGAGAGAGCGTTAAGTGGGCTATCAAATGCGCCTTTCCTCGGTGCTGTAGCTCTCTTGGTTCCCGAGTTATGTGTCGGCTTCTAAAAATTGTTGACATTTGACCTGAAAATCTGCAACATTTGGCCTTCAATGACCTCTGGTGACCTGACTGACCTTTGAGCAAAAAGTGACTGAAGTAGTTCCGTCATTTTGTTTTGTCGCTCTCTCGCACACTGCCTTCCGCGTATCGCTACGTGGCCCAGGAGCCGAGTTAGAAGGGGAAGGGTGTTCAAACACCCCCCCCCCAGCAGGGCGTGGAAATCCAGGCCCCCCAGCGGGATGCGGGTTAAGAAGGAGAAGGACAGTGTTGAGTGTATGTAGTGTAGGATTCAATGTCTTCGTATGGAAGCTCTAACGCCAGTCATTTTGAATTTTTAATCCAATGAAGCATTGCTATGTTAAAGTTCTACGAACTGTCACAATTGCAAATATGTAGTCGAACACATTGTTAATTTTATTTGCACTAAAACGTAATTATTCAGCATAGTTTGAAGTAACTATAATTTTATGATTAAATTGCATGTCATTTATATTAATTTGCTTGTCATTTATTTTAAATAGCATGTCAGTTGTTTTAAGCTGAATGTCACGTGTTTTAACCCGCCTGTCAATTGTTTTAATTCAGAAATCAACTGTTTTAAATTGGACTTCATTTGTCTTAAAATGCATCGAAAATGGTGTATAATTTGACCTTGAAAGGTCAAATTGAAACAATTGACCTCAGGCCAAGGTCTTGACCTGACCGGAAAGGGTCATGCTGCGTATCAGCCGATCAGTATCGTGGAGTTGAACAAATCTAAGGCGTTTTCATCGCTCTAACATGCCTGTATCCAAAGTTATTCGCTAAAACCTGCTAGATACCCTTCGTGACCTGACATGATCTCATGGGCATAAACAGGGGTCACGGGTGCTATGCATTTTTATGTTCATTGGGTCAACTGTCAACGTTACTTGTAATTCGGTGTTTGAAAGTGTTTAGAATGACTTTCGTCAAAAAAGAGGCGCCTTTCAATTTTCTCCCTACAAATAATCATGTAGTCGAACACAACATTTTTTTTTTATTTGCAGCAAAACATAATTATTCAACATAGCTTTACGTACCTATATTTGTATGATTAAATTGCATGTCATTTATATTAATTTGCATTTCGTTTATTTTAAATCGCATGTCAGTTGTTTTAAGCTGAATGTCACGTGTTTTAACTCGCCTGTCAATTGTTTTAATTCAGAAATCAGCTGTTTTAAATTGGACTTCATTCGTCTTAAGATGCATCGAAAATGGTGTATAGGGGAAAAATGAAAGAGCGGCAGTATCTGTTTCATTTTCAACGTTTTCCTTGCGGGCGTCGTATAAAAGGAATCGACTTCAAGCAGACTTCGGTCAAACGATAAATACCTGAGAAAAGCACAATGTTCTCTTGTGACTGTGCGTGTATACGAACTCTGTCCAACACCGTCTCCCCCACCCCGTGTGCCCGCAGCTGCAGCAGTTCGTGCCACTGGTGGACTCCCACTGCAGCAGTCGGCTCAAGTTCTTCCTGTGCTCGCTGTTCGCGCCCATGTGCTCGGAGATGGTCGACGCTCCCATACCCAGCTGCCAGTCCGTCTGTTTTGACGTGCGCTCGCGCTGCCTGCCGCTGCTGCGCTCCTTCGGTATCGGCTGGCCGGCCATGCTCAACTGTTCGCGCCTGCCGGCCGCCGGCCACGAGCGCAGGGATGGACTCTGTATGGCGTACCCGACTGGCGAGGGTGAGGGCACCTCGCCGCCCCCACCACCTCCCCCTCCAGTGGACAGGCGCCGGCTGATGGCCCGCTACCCTCACCTGGACTGGAGCAGTCTGCTGCAGCCGACAGAAGTCCCCGGTGCGCCGGCAGACACCTCCTGCCCGCCCGGCTACCTGCGAGTGGCCGGCGCGGCGGACGGCGGTGCGCGGGCCGCCTGCAGATCCGCCTGCGGCGCCAATCTGCTCTTCACAGGAGCCGACAAGCGTCTGGCCGAACTGTGGCTGGCCGCCTGGTCGGCACTGTGCCTGCTCGCCAGCCTGTTCACGGTACTGAGCGTGTGGCTGGGCGCCGCGCGGCTCGAGTACCCGGCCCGGCCGCTGGTGTTCCTCTGCGGGTGTCAGGCGCTGTGCGCTCTGGGAGTGCTCACTCGACTGCTGCTGGGAGCTGAGAAGGCCGCCTGTCACGCAGTGCCCGACGGCGGCTTCGTGCTGGCCGCCGGAGGTCTGGACAGCGCTGGGTGCATCGTCACCTTCCTGGTGCGGTACTACTTCGGTGTGGCAGCGGCGCTGTGGTGGGCCGCGCTGGCTGCCGTCTGGGCTCTCCGATTTGCCAGGGGTTGGAGCCGGCAGGCGCTGCGTCACCTGGCGCCCCGGCTGCACGCGCTCTGCTGGGGCGCGCCGGCTGTACTGGCGGCAGCCGCGCTCACCGCGCAGACCATCGGCGCCGACGAACTGACGGCGCTGTGTCAGGTGACGCGCCGGCCACTGCCGCTGCTTACGCTGCTGGCGCTGCCACTAGCGCTGGCCCTGCTGGCAGGCGCTGGCTGCCTGGTGCTGGGCGCCTCTGCGCTGGTCGCCAGCCGTCGGCAGCTGCAGAAGTCGGCCGGTTCGCCGGTGCCGGCCGGGACGGCGTCGAGCAGCGCGCGGCGACTCGGGGTGTTCCTGGCGGTGACGGCTGTCTCGGCGGCTCTGACGCTCACCTGTCTGGTGTACGAGGCCGTGCAGACGGAGCACTGGGAGGCGGCGGCACTGCGGCGCGCTGCCACCTGCCAGGAGCCGGCCGGCTGTCCCCCGGAGGTGTCTGTGGCGCCGGTGGCCGTACCGCTGCTGCGGCTGGCCGCTACTCTGGTGGCAGGAGTAGCCAGCGCTCCCTGGGTCTGGTCGGCAGAGACTGCCGCCGGCTGGGCGCGGCTCGGTCACCTGCTCTGCTGCCGCCGGCCGACCGCCGATAAGACGGCAGCCTACCTACCGGGACGGAGGGGACCGTCTGCCGCCGGGACCGGCCACCTGCAGGTGCTACCGGCTCCTGGGACAGGCCGTCGCGTGTCGCCCGTCTGAACCGACGGGTGTCACTTGACACGTGACACCCGACCCCAAGGTGTCACTTGCGTGGCTCGCATGGAGGAGGTTTGTAACAGCACGGAGTCTCTGGCGCTTTCTTTGGCTTCTCTCACTTTAAAAGATTCGTGATATGACGCACAGGCTCGATGTCCTAATTAGTGACAGCTCGACTCCCGTAGCGTGAGAAGTATGCACGTCGTCTTTCCCTGACTACAGCATGAATAGGTAGTGTGATTGCGATTAAAGGGACTATCCCACCTTTAACATGGGGTTTGAGTTGAGATAGCCAAGTTTGCGGCGAGGTTCAGAAACCACTATCTATCTAGGTTGCAACCCCCGCGGCCTCTTGGTGTTGAAGAAATTCGTTCCCTTCATTTGAAAATGGGCCTTGCGCAAGGCCCTATCAGTTCAACATGGAGCGACCGTTAGTGTGACGTCACCTCGTTTAGTCATTCTGATTTAAATGGGTTTGTTCGTTGAAAAATCGCTTAAAACTTGGTCTGAACTTTGTTGTGGTGCCTACAGAGTAAAAAGAATCAGCTTTATGACAGTAATGTGGCCTGGGGAAGGAGGTAATTTTGGGCTGTGACGTCACATATTTGAAAGTTTGTGTTTGGAATATGGGAAGCCTAAGATGTTTAATGAAAAATAAATGCCAGAACCGTGTTCCTGGTCATCCAATCTATAAAGTCGGGCACAATTTAACTGGTTTTAACAACATTTTAGAAGGTGGGATAGTTCCTTTAATCAAATTCGTATGCGTGTGTCGTTTCGTGTAAGCTTGTTTTTGTTGTTGTATGAGTAGGCATGTCTTTTCATGATATGTACAAATATTCACCAGTGCAGTATTTACTGAGAGAAGCTTCATTGGTGGCTTGTGATATAAGTAGTTGTGATGCGTTTAGTTTATCTTAGGCTGGTACTTCTGGTACTGAGCGGCGCGGGTGTCACTTTATAGCATGTGTTTTCACGTAAGCCATTTGGTAAACTGTTGCATGCAAGGGTTGTATAGGATGTAGATTGTGTTATTGTGTTTTTTGTATGATTGGATCAGTGGATGTGGCACCGGTAGACAGCGCAGAAGTAATGGAAGGCATATGTTGCGTGCTTTCGTCGATCGATCTGAACGCCTTGCGAACGTTTATTTTTTGACGTTCAATATTGATGGTGCGTTTGTCTTGTATGTAAAAATATATGTATATGTCAACCAATGAGTTGTGCTAACTAAATATATGTAGAATCAATATGTTCTACTTTATCAGTTTAAACACCGGTTTCTTCATCGTCGGAAGGCATTTGGGCAGCCGAATAAAAAAATCGAAGAGTAAATAACAGAAAATACGCGTTAGACATTCAAACAAGCTTAAAGACTGGATGCATATTCACTGTTCAGAAAGTGTGATTGCACCCTTTGATAGCATTGCAGCTCTTTACCAAGCGAGTAAAACTCTTACCTATTGTACGAAGGCAACGAACACAGCGGCAGTCGGTACGATCATTCGTCTCATGTGCGTTCTAACTTGTGAAGTGAACATCTCTCTCTCTCTCTCTCTCTCTCTCTCTCTCTCTCTCTCTCTCTCTCTCTCTCTCTCTCTCTCTCTCTCTCTCTCTCTCTCCTCTCTCTCTCTCTCTCTCTCTCTCTCTCTCTCTCTCGCTCTCTCTCTCTCCCTCTCCCTCTCCCTCTCCCTCTCCCTCTCCCTCTCCCTCTCTCTCCCTCTCTCTCCCTCTCTCCCTCTCTCTCTCTTTCTCTCTTACTTTATCTCTCTCTTTCTCACTCTCTTTCTTTCTCTCTCTCTCTCTCCTCTCTCTCTCTCTCTCTCTCTCTCTCTCTCTCTCTCTCTCTCTCTCTCTCTCTCTCTCTATCTCTCTCTCACACACACACACTCACTCTCTTTAATACAGAACATAGCAAAGAACAATGTCAACCATATCGTTTTACTCTTCTATCTTTCGAGGAAGTTTCGCAACGTCAACTTTTCCCCTAACTTACACCCAGCTTTAGGTTCAGGTTACCCTAGCATGTGGCAAAATCCACAACTGTCCAATAAAATCAACATACATGTTTTCAAAAAAACATTTGTTTTATCCATTCGTCATCTGAAGGAAGGAAAAATAGTCCCGTATGAAGTTCGGTAGCAACTGACAGGATGCGTTACGATGGACCCGTGTTCTATCTGTCAGCGTAAGCCGTAACGTATCATCCATCGTAACATACGCTTGCTATAACGAAAAAGGTTAGGTATTGTGACACCAGTGCTCAACGCAGTCAACACAACACTCCACTTAGCACAAAGATCCCGCTGGGGGAGCTCGCTGGGCTGGCTGCAGGCGGTGGGCGTCTTGCGGCACAGCCTACATTCAGGCGTATCGATTGGCCTGCCCTCTATTGACAGATGTGTAGGCGTATGAAGGTGATCTTAGATCTAAGACGCACCGTGCGTGCTTGGCGGCACAGTCTACACACAGGCACATATTTGATGTGCCATGTGTTGTGTAATGTCGAGTGGGCGTAAATATGATTTGAAATAGAGCATTGAGGAGTGCTCGTGATATCGTTGAATAAAATAAATTAAACAATCACGTATTTCATAGCGATGACACGTAATGTTTTTTTTTGCCTCTTACGAATTTGCGTAAAGGTACGTGCCATATAGGTACACACGCATCAGCCCCGCAGCAACAAATGCAGCAACGCATTTATATATCTATACAGTGATATCCTTATCAAACTTACCAAAATGTAGTAGATTCATGAAACTAATTACGACCGTTTTCAGCTTAAGTTAACGACTGATTAGCACTTGAGGAATACATTTACCTATAGATTTGTGTGATTATCTAAAATTAATTAATACGGTTTGATTCATTTGATAAGTTACCAGACATTTTCATTTAGTCTAGTTTGAACGACGAAAGTGAAATCGTTGGAATACCGAGCAAATCATTTAGATTTGATTTAATTTATTTGATTTACAAGTAAATTGATTTACCTATACATGACAAATTGTCTTGCATGTAATCTAGGAAAACAATCTTGGAAACGAACGTCATACAGAAAAACCAAGGCAGTTTCTCTAGTATCTTGGAATGAGTCAAAATAAATGTGATCGTGCAACTGAGCAAATCCTCTATCCTCGTGGTATCTACGCTGCCATCAGCGAGCTTGCAGAGCGGGTCTTTACCGCACCACACATCTATTGCCGGCGCAGCGTTCAGTTCACACACATCTGAGCCGGCCAACAGGCAATAACTTCTGCTCTGATAAAACATCGCCTGCTAACTGCCGCCAAAATGTCTCGCAATTTGTCCGTTTACGATGCGGCTCGGCCTCATTTGAATAGTGGCCCGACCGTAACCGGCGGCACCCGATAAAATCGGCTCGTTGCGGCCGCCGCCGGCCCGATCGGCTCACCATAAGTCGGATTGGAGGCGTGCCGGACTGGCGTCGTCGCGGCGGCCGGCCCTTTGAAGAAGTCTGCACATGAGCGGCGGGCGGGAGGCGCCGGCGATTGTCGGCCCGTGACCCGGCCGGAGGCGCCGCCGGCGATCGGCCGAGACCGTAAATCGGCCGATCAGCACGGAGCGACCCGGACACGGCCGGTCGTGCGCCAAACGGTAACTCGGAGCACGGAACACGGAACACGACTCACGGATTACGGCATATGGCACACGCAACATGGAACACAGCACACGTAATACGGAATACAGCACATTGGCATGGAATACAGCACATGGAACACAGAACACCTCTTATGGAGAACGAAATACAGCGCAAGAAAACAGAACGCAGAACATGGAATAAGTACGGGCATAAGCACTTAGAGCACGTAATAATGCACACATGATTGCGGAATCTTGGGGAACACGGAACACAACACACTACCGCTCTTGTAGACCTGTTCGGTGTTCGGCTCAGACATGTCTGTCTGAGATGGCTCGAGTGTCAATGGTTATTCAGTGAATGCATGCAATTGCCTTGGTTAAGCTGTTCCACATCTAAAAGCGTCTCATCTTTGTAAAGCATTTATGCCTCACGATGCACATAACCCTTCGGCCAAACGCTTGCCTATCGCATCGCCGCATCTCCCATGTTCTATCTGTTTATTACCATGCTCAGCGTATGTACTACATGATCGCTCGCCAAGTACTTCAGTTTTATGCCAGCGATTAGGAAGGTTGCCATGACAGATAAAGCAGAGTTCAATTGCATCTTGGGGGTACCAAAGCAGTGATTATTTCTCCCACCTGTCATCTGTTGTGTGGTTGTTGCAAAGATCACTAGAGCCGAGTCGGTCGGGCTTTAGATTACGGCCCATGGCCGGCATCTGATGCACGGCAAATAACCACCCTGGCCGCTGGCCCGCCGGCGAACGATAGCCATCTGCAAACGGCGCCCACCACCACTCCGATCGTACGTCAAACGCGCCTATTACACATCTCATCAGCCGGCGGGATCGGCTGAGAGCCACAGCCGCCGCCGGCGGCGGGCTCGGGCGAGGCACACCGGTTCAACCAGGAGATGGAATGAGCCAGGAGAGGGAGTGAATCGGGAGATGGGCTGAGCCTGGAGATGGGCTGAGCCGGTGGATGGGGTGAGCCAGGGGATGGATTGGACCAGCCAACAGGTGAGCCAGGGGATGGATTGGACCAGCCAACGGATGAGCCAGTGGATGGGGAGATGGAATGAGCCAGGAGTGGGAGTGAGCCAGGAGAGGGAATGAGCCAGGAGAGGGAATGAGCCAGATGATGGGATGAGCTAGCCATCGGATGAGCCAGGAAATGGAGTGAGCCAGCCATCAGGTGAGCCAAGAGATGGAAGTAGACTGAGCTGAAGAGATGGAAATAAACACTGAACACGCCATTGGCTGAGCCAAGAACGTGCAGGCTGAGCTAGCCGCAGGCTGGGCGAAGATCAAAGTGAGCCGGCCCGCCGTGCGAAGCATATATCGTATAATACGCGAATGAACCGATCTGGAGAAGCACAATGGTATGTGTGC